CGCAATACGAGACATAGAGACCTGCAAAATAAATTAAGAAATCAGATACAGAAAAAGTTCCTCTTTTTTGCAATTCTCCCTCCCTGAAAGGTGAGCTCGAGGCGCCAAATCTTAATCCTAACCCTCGCATGCGACCCCACAAATTCATAAATTGAATTAAGCATAAAATATGCTAAAATGGTTGAGGATTTACCTGAGGAAAAGCTCGTGGATCCAATAAAAATCAGATCTTGAAAGAGGCTCGGACCACGCGCTCGAGGGGCCTGAGAGAAATTCTAAATATGGAAATTTTGAGGGATTTCTCAGTCAAAGATCAAAGGGAAGGAAGAATCTAAGACAAATATGAAGATTTGAGGAAGAACGGATGCACGAGGGAAGAGAAATCGAAAAATAGGGGAGAGAGGGGGGCCGGCCCTAATGAGGAGAAAAAGACCTCTTTTTATAATGTTGAACCAAGCCTAGTTGAACCGGACCAGACCAAGTTGAACCGGACCAGACCTGGTTTGAACCAAAATTCAAATTGAAGCTGGATCGAGCATCGAAACAACTTCAAATCGACCGAGGGTTCAGTCCTTGGTTTATTCTTGCCTCTCCCACATATTCGGAAGGATCATAAGATTTTTTTTGAGCCTAATTACTGCCTTTTTTGGCTCATCATCAAGCCGGTTCAGCTCATTCGAGCACAGAAGTTACTCCAATAAGGTATATGAGTATAAACTATTCCCTATTTTTGATTGAGAAGTTCCTGAAGAATATTTTTCTAAATATTCTTAAGGATAACTCAACAACACTACGCCGGACAACGCGTCGCAAATAAAGACTCAACGCCAACAATCGATGGTCAGTTCTATGTTAAACCAACAAACACGAGCTAAAGATTAGAAAATCAGGAATCGACTTCAAGTTTAAAATTCCGACAACGGTCAGACAATAAATGCAGCACCGGAACTCTTACAGACATTCGACAAAGCACCGAATAGCCTGGAAGATTGAAGGAATCAAGAACAGAAGCCATTCCAAGGTCCCGTTACACCGACTGAAGGTTGGGACAATCATATCCAAAGTATTCCAGACTCTTCTATAAAAGAACGAGGCTGAAATACTTTGGAGGGGGTATCTGTAGGCATATAAAATTGCTTATAGGTCCCTTAGCACAGCTCGGCACAAACCGACGAACCAACGAGGCGACGAGATCGACAAATCGCACGCGAACAACGGAATGAATCCACCCGCGTGCAGAATCAAGCTAATGAGTTGAGGAATCAAGCCGGCCCAGATCTGTGCGCGGGCACAGTTCAGAGAGCCTATAAATAGGCCCCCCTTGGTTCATTTGTAAAGGTGGGAACTTTGAGAGCCGAAACTCTGCCGAATTGAGATTTGAGCTTGGAGTTTTGAAGACTTGAGGACTTGAACATTTAGATCTGATTCTCGGCAAGCATCCACGTCACAAAAGGCAGGAGTTCGAGAGAGAGAAAGAGCAGATCTGAGATCTACACGAGATCATACTCCGGATCAAAGCTTGGCCTTTGATCCCGAGAACTAAGGGCGATTATTTCCTTGGTGAATTAATCCCCCCGGCTATTATTTCCTTCGCGAAATAATACCCGTCAAATCGTGTAGATCCGACCGGATCTAGATCGCGCGGTGGTCCACGGATTAACCCCGGCGTTGGCAAAGAACCCACACAAGCGAGCGACCGCAAAACAGGAGCTCGTGATTTGTTCGACAAACAAGGCGAAAGTTGTAATCTTTTTTCTATTTTCTTTGATTCTTATTATAACCGGATCTTATAAAAAGACCGGATCTTTGTAACTCAAAAAGCTGTTATTTAAGATGACAATGGAATCAACAATGAAGAAGAACACAATTTTTCCCGCGAACACTCATGCCCCGAAATACAGTTTTTCACTGTTAACCGTCGAGATTTTAGTAGATTATGATCCAACAACCACCTAACTGAAGTGAACGTGATTTTAACTGAAGATAAGAGGGAATCGACCGTTCTTATCCAAAAACCGAGCTTTTAAAACCTATAAATATGGCCTTAGGGCCTTCATTTACACAGATCCAAAATTCTGGAGCCTCGACAAAGCCCTGTCAAATTGAAGAGTGAGGATCACGAATTTCAGAGAGGATGAAGAGATCTCAGTGAGATCTTCAGTACAAAGAGGATAAGAGTTCGAGAGATCTGCATTTCATTCATCCATTTCCCTTGAGATCGCACCTAGCCGTGATTCTCGAGAAGAGTGGGTATCTCACCTTGCTGAGATATTCGCTTTAGTTTCTTGTCTCCTTTGCGAGGCAACAAAATCTATATTCGGATCTGATCAGTTGGTGGTCCACGGATAAACCCCGGTACCGGCAAAGATCTCGCGCAAGCAGAAGACCGATAAACGATCTCTCTGCGTGAGTTTTCTAGGAAGTCATCTGTTTTGTTTTTATTGTAAGAAAAGTCTTATAAAAAAACTATTTTTTTCTTTATTTTTGAATCTGTAAACGCCTGAAGTTGTAATGGATTCGAAAGTAATGAAAGTGATTTCCGACGCGAACAATTCCCTTTAGAAATTAAGGTAATTCCAAAATTTGTCATTTTATCATCATTCAAGATTGAGCAACTATAAATGTTTCATTTTCCATCTAGTTTACTTTTTGATCATATAATTTGCATCAAGGATAATGTAAAATTTAGGTATATGGGTGAAGATTTGTTATCTTTTCTCTTTAATTTACCCTTTCGTTTATCACTTCTTTTCTTTCCCTTAAAAAATAAAAAAAATATGCCACTTGCAAACTTGATAAAGTTTATTAATAATAATTTACTTGATGAATTTTTAAACTTTCTAATTCTTAGTTATTTTTATGTTCAGGTTACTATTTTATGATAACTCTAAATAAATTTTTAAGAAATGATTTTTAAATTTTGGATGATTTTTCCAACCCAGATTGTAGGTTGGAGAATATGGATCGTTCTTAGGATGCTGAAATGTAGTGTTCACTTGACCTAATGCTTGATTGTTTTCTAAGAGAGGACATTCCTCCAAAACATAGGTTCGAGATAGGTGGTTATGGCATCTCGAGGGCAGAAACCTGATTAATTTGAGCTGATGCTCGTTCTTTAGTTTGAAGGACTTCTAACCCAATATAGTATGCATTGACTTATTTGTATACAATTGATAATTGAAGTCTCACAAATAATTAAACCTCTTCGTTCACCACAAGCGTGGTTTTTGTCTAAAAAATTAAGCATAAAAGAGGAATAGGAAGGACAATAAACTAATCTAGAACCACATATAATAACAATCTAAAATCCTATAGATAGTTCATTAACCCTTCCATTAATCATAGTCCAATTTCGAATTGATAGAGGTGGAAGTGTACCTATTAGTATTTTGTAGTGTCCATAAAGCACTAGTAGACATGTCGCGTGCTTAGAGACACACTTTTGGGTCACGAGGTGTGGCAATTATAAATCAAGGATCAGAACCAATAAAAAGAACACATGAATCCTATGTCCAAATTCATAAAATGATGAATTTTTTAATGGGTTTCACAATGATGAAAGTGAGATTGTGGGGATCGTAAATTACGGAGGGATCGCTGGTACATATACCACTTTATTATTATTATTATTATTATTATTATTATTATTATTATTATTTGATATTATACTTCAAATACAATAAGTTCCAAGTCAAACATTTTATCAAGGAGTTTTTTTAAAATACCCTTTTGCTAAATAATTAACAAAACCAACCGTTTTGCTAATTATTTAGCAAAACTGACCTCTTTTTGGCCAACAGGCCAAAAAGACCGAGGCCAAAAAGAGGTCGGTTTTGAAAAATTAGTTCTTCAAAACGTACGTGACTATTAGTCCCGTATGTTTAGTGGTCAGTAATTGACCACCAAACTTAAGCCAGAAAACCCATAGGGCTACTAGTCCCGTGGGTTTGTACTTGGGTTTAGACCGATGAACATCATTTGGATGGCTTGGATCCTTTGCATGATTTCATGTGCCTTTGACAGGCTTTGAAATTGGAAATATCCTGCGGGCCTTCTTGCATGGACTTGGGCTTGCTTTGATGATGGGTAGGCTTCTTGTGCTTTACTCGCTGGCCCCTATCGTCCTTCCTATGGATGATCAAAAGCAAGGTGCATGAGACCAACAATTCTTTTTCTCGCCATGCTAGCCATTTCATTCAATTTATTCATATGTTCTATTCCGGGACACTGGCATTCATGATTTTATTCTTTCTTGGTGCTCAACAAAATCCACAGGACTAGTACTCCCGTGGATTTTCTGGCTAAGGAGGTTTGAATATCCACATAATGCACAAGGCGTTTGTGATGCAATTTCACAAACTTGTCGTGACTATGAGATATAGAGGAATTTTTTCTATATCTTTTGACAATGCTTCCGAAAACACATCGATAATTTTAAAATTGAGAGAAATTCTGAATCCAATAATGAAGGGTAATTTTTTTCATACTAGATGTGTTTGTCATATTATTAACTTGCCTTAGATCTTCTAGAGGAGTCTAGTCTTCTGGGTTGCAAACATTCATTTCGTACTTTAGATTTTTAGTGTACCTTCGGTCAAGTTCTAGTTTCCTACCACTTTGTACTAGTCAGAAGGTATCATACCAAATTTCTATCACATACCTTTTACTTGATATTATCATTTTCCATATCCAATATATATCCATTTCCATCAAATATGTATCTTAAGAACACCATTTTTTCAATAGAATGATATCAAACGTCTTGTTCAAATTACATATCATGGGGATAATAGAAAGTTAGCCAAGGTTGGCCATCATAAAGTGCGCAGTTGGCAAGTATAAAAACCTGTAATTTATAGATATTTTTTTAGTTTAATTGTTAGATTCTATTTTCGAAATAGTTTACAGTTGACAGTCAGCTCTTTAATTGCTTTGTTCTTAAATTTAGGGGTTTCTGCTGATGTGGCTTTTTTTCTTTTCTTTTATTTTTCTGGTGGGTGAAGGCTACCCCTTCTGCAGGTTTTATATGGTCCAGATTGTGTATAGTTAAAATGTCGATTCATATTCCTAATTGGAGCAGGTACAAAAAATGATGCTTTGTCGCGTTTTTCATTTTGCTCCAAATATTACATATAATTTCTTGTGCCTAAGGTTAGAGAACTATATGGATGTCATTTGAACAGGACTTATTTTGCAGATCTAAACGTGTCAAAAATATTAGAATTAGAACAATATTACATCACCTTTGAAATGTTTGTTGCTGATGTCAAGAGAATGCTTACCAATGCTCCCACCTATAATGCTCCAGAAAAAATCTATTATAAATATGCTACGATGATGAATATTTCCTCGGAATGCTCCACATTTTTAATTTAACATTATTACTTTGACTAATACTGTGATTTCTTATTGCGCAGGCTTAGAACATTTTTCTTGATCAGGGTCTAGTCCCACCTTCTCCAAACAACTAGCAAGAATCCAAAGAATTGACTAATATATAGAAAATTTCTGGAAAAAAAGCCAGGATAGAACCATCAAATTATTTTTCTGGAGTAGTAACTATGTCAAAGCTTGAAATCCTGATTCATAAATTATGGGCGTTGACGAAACCTGTTGATATCTGATGATGTGGTTTATAGAGATGAGGATACACGATTGTTAACTACTGAAAGCATAGAGCTCCTGTAATGGTGATAATTCTAAAAATAAAATAAAAAATAAAAAATAAAAAATAGATAGGGCATTTTTCATCATATGTTGAATAAGAAAATACCATATTAATAGTAGTGTCAATCTAGTATCAAAATTTTAGTACAATTAGAAAGTTAGAATTACACTTCCCACAAGATTCCATATAGACAACCAATTATTTTACTTTAACAGTCTAGTAGGGTCACACTCGTATTTTATTATGACTGATGATGATTGGGTATACAAGCTTCATCAATTGTCAATGTGTTAGGCCATTGGAAGAAGTAACTAGAGAATTATATGATAGTTATTATCCAACTACAAAACTTACTTTAATTCATTTGACTTCAATTCCTCACATGTTTGCTACATATCCAGATGATCCACTCTTATATGATGTTATGAAGAATGTGGAAGTCAATTCCTCACATGTTTGCTACATATCCAGATGATCCACTCTTATATGATGTTATGAAGAATGTGGAAGAAAATTTAAATAAATATTTTAAAGGTCTACGATGATCCACTCTTATATGATGTTATGAAGAATGTGGAAGAAAATTTAAATAAATATTTTAAAGGTCTACCTTTACTTTATAGTTGTGCTCTACTGTTAAATCCTGGAGGAAAAATAAATGAAAAATAAATGGTTGTGGAAATTTAATTCAATCAATAAAATTTGACATGAACTATAATCAACTGAAAGTGGATCATGCAAAGTGAAAGGGATAAATTATATGAATTATATGCAATTTAATGTGGACCCCTAATGTAAAGAATTCATACTTTGACTTCTCCATCTTCATCTTTAACACCTTTATTATTTGGATGTCAAACTTTAATGAGACAAAGAAGAACCTCACAAGATGCAACTGAACATAGTTTTTATCTTAATCGATGTCAAACTTTAATGAGACAAAGAAGAACCTCACAAGATGCAACTGAACATAGTTTTTATCTTAATCTCTTAGATGGTCCCAACTAATAAAATGGAGGTTGCTAGTTTTGATGTATTAGCCTAGTGGAAAGTGAAAAGTGGAACTTATATTGTGCTTTCCCTTGGAGCTTGTGATATACTAACCCCTCCACTGTCTATAATAGCAGTCAAGAGTGCTTTTTCTAATGGTGGCAGCAGTCAAGAGTGCTTTTTCTAATGGTGGCAGAGAATTAACTGAGAAGAGAACTAACTTGAATAATGAGAGCTTGAAGAGGGTGATGCTATTGCTAGACTAGTGGAAGATAGATAAACGAACTTAAGAGATTGGCGTGTTTAACAAAGATTCTCCACCAAGAGGAGAAGCAAGTCCATCTGGACCATCTCGCAATTGAAGAAATTTTAAATTTTATTTTGTAATTTTTAAACTCTTGCCAAACTAGTGAGTTGTGTTATACTTTTTCATTTTCGGTACAAAAATTTACTTTTAGTCACGTTACTATTCAATTGCTACTTGTAACTCTTCAATTTCTAGTTTCTACAACTATGTAAAACATTCATAAATTTATTAGTAAAGTTATTCTTCTTCTATAAAGTATTATCTTTAATTTTGATGTTTAAATTTGATTAATTATTTTATTTAAAATTAAGCCTAAATATAGTTAAAACTGTAAAAAATAAGTTTGGCCAAAACTTAGAAATACTAAGAAGTTCAAAAATTAGAAATATTTTAAAAATAATAATAATTCGTAGCGGGAGTTTGAGTTTGAGCCCAATTTTAAATAGAATGTTTTTATATCTTTTGGGCCGCTAAGGCCCACCCAAAATAGACCCAACCCAGTTAAATGTCAGCTGGCAAGTTTTGCCCATTGGCTAATGGGGAAAAATTTGCCTGTTGACAATTTGAAATGGGCCTTTTTTTTTCTTTTTTAGAATTTGATTTTAATTTTTAAATCTATTCTAATTCATACAAATATCATTCAATCTTCAATCCTTATTCTCATTCTTATACTAATCTTCTTCACCTCTTTCCTTTTCATTGTTCTCACAGTCAAAAGCCATGATTTTCTTTGAGATATTTTTTGATGTAATGAAAAAAAATATTAGAGAAGTGTTGTTGAAAATGAAAGCTTAAAGAAAAATGAAGAGCAGAACCATCTCTACTATAATTTGAAGAAAATTATGGAATCAATTTGTATTTTTTATTTTCTTAGTCTAGTATATTTTCCTTTTAGTATGCAACTCTTTTATTCTAGTAGTCCGATACTCAAGTTATTAATGAAATTCATTTTACTTTGTTAATATTTTGGTATATAGAAGAAAAAAATTTATTAGTAAAACAATAAGAATTTAACATGTCTTAACCAGATCGGGCCTAGCCCATAGCTTGACAAGCCAGGTCAGCAGGCCGAGTTTGTGCATCACCCAAACCAAAACACCCAAGCTCAAGACCGACTTGGTCTAATATGGGTCATTCAAGGCCTGACCCATTCGAGCCTAGGACAAGGGGTTTCGGGCCGGGTCTAGCCCGAACTTGGCTTGTGTTCAGATCTACAAGGGAATTATTGTTAATCATAATATAGATGAGAAACTAAAGAAAGTGACATTAGATGTGGGGCCCATTTGAGTTGGAGAACACAAATAAACAAGCACATATGAAACTCTATCTAATTTTCATATATAGTATGACATGATACTAGCAGAATTGACCCGAGCGATATCGCAACATTTATGTGAAGAAACCAAAAAGTAATAGTTTAAACATTTGGTTAAAAAAAACACTATGCATCCAATCATTTTAATAAAGATATCACAAGGTAAAGTGAAATATACCAAAATTATATACCAAATGGTTGTATACAAAGCGTTTTAAAATTAATTCTTTTGAATATGTTGGATCTAAGTCGACAGGAAAGTGGGTGGTCAAAAAATAAATAGTGATACAACTTTCAGTTTATGTGTAAAAGTATTTTCTATAAGCGAGTAGATTTAAACGACTATAAATACCCATAATACCCTCCTCCTCTTTGTTATCCATTTCTTCACTCTCATCACTTTCCTCCGGCTATCTCCCCAAGCGCTCTCCTCTTTCCTCCATCCTCCTCCTCCTCTCCCGCAACAACTTCTCTCGCTAACTTCTCACCCACCCCTTCCCTCTTTCCTCCATCCTCCTCCTCCTCTCCCGCAACAACTTCTCTCGCTAACTTCTCACCCACCCCTTCGCTTTTCCCGTGCATCAGCTTTCTCACTCTCCTTCTCAACTCGCTACCATAACTTGTTAGAGGGAGATTACGGTGAAAGAAGAGGAGGCGGTAAGGGCCATTATGATATTGTGGATATTGTTTTTAATCAGAAATGCCCAAAAGTGTGTGACACCGTAACCATGGTAGCAATTAAAGGTTGTTTCCATAATAAAAATTAAAAGTGATATCTATTCATTTGGGTAAAAGTAAATGTGATTTTTATGTAAAAACTCTTAAAAATAAAATTGACTGTAGGGTAGAGAGACCTAGGGTTTTTGACATGAGATTTTTATGTAAAAACTCTTAAAAATAAAATTGACTGTAGGGTAGAGAGACCTAGGGTTTTTGACATGAGCCCCTTGCAGCTTACAATTTTGAATTTAGCCCATTAGATCATTGCAATTACTCTTGGGTCGCAAACTTTAAAGTTATTATCCCATTAATCCCTTAAGTCGTTGAAATTTCTATCAGGCCCATTGATTCTCCTAATTTTCTTCAAATTAATCTATCTAGCTATTGCGTCTAACTTAATTATTAAGAGGACTAATTTCAAAATAATTTAATAATTGAGGGGACTAATAGTAATTTCAATGATATAGGGACAAACTTCTCAATAACTTAAGAGGACCTAGTAGCAATGTTTGAGGGATTAATGTGTATGGAAGATAAAATAAACTTTCTTAAATGGTTTCAAAATAAAACTTCGGGTTTACATAAAAAAGGACAAACTCTTTGAGGGATTAATAAGTGTTTGGAAGATAAATAAAACTTATTTAGAAGAGAAGGCTGAGGTGGTTCGAACCCCCACAACATCAGGGCAAAATATAAAGCCATTACCAACCCCGCCAACAAATTTTCTTGGACTCATTTAGAGCTCTTTCACATAGGACATAATTTGGATGAACTGTAGCTATCCATCCCACTAAGACACACACACATAAAGAAGGTCATAATCTAATGTTGCCCCTTGTTTGGCTTTAACCTTTTACCTTGTCGGCGTTGATACGAAATCCTAAGGTTAACGTCGGTCAACGCGTAGCCTTAGGTCAACGTCGGTCAACGCGTTACTATGAAAGTCAACATTAATTGATAAGAAACCCCAAGATCAACGTCGATCAATGCGTTGCCCTAGGTCAACGTCGGTCAACACGTTGCGATACAGATAATTAGTTCAAAGTCAACTCAATGACACAAGCCAAAATCAACTCACTAATTTCGATTCGAGACTTCGACAACGGTCAGACGATAAACACGGCACCGGAAGAATTTTAATATTCGACAAAATACTGAATAGACTAAAATGTAGAGAAATCAAGAACTGAAGCCAGTTACAGATCCTTTGACACCGATTGAAGGTGGGGGTCTATCACATCCAAAGCATTTCAGACTCCTCTATAAAAGAATGAGACTGGAACACTTTGAAAGGGGTATCTATAGGTATCTAAAACTGCCTATAGGTTCCCGCACATTGCTCGAGAATAAGAGAAGACGATGAACGTCATCATCCAAATAGAGAAGGATTATCCGAGTGCCCGACGCACGCGTCGGGCAGCTCCAAGTGACCCCCGTGCTTATCAGTTAGCGCTAAGTGACCGGATGCGCACGTCAGTCGGTTCGCGCGCGTCAGTCAACGCCAAGTGATCAGATGCGCACGTCATTCAACTTGCGCACGTCAATTAACACGCTGATCAGGCAGCCCCAAGTGACCGACGCGTTCATCGGTCGGTCCAGCGAAACGTACAAGCTAACTAGTCAACCAAATACGCAAAAATGTGGAGAATACAAGTCCGAGAAAGTCGAGAAACACCGAAATACGAAAAGACATAAATAGTCTCAACTCGCGTGGGGGCGCGGGTCACCACCTGGTGACCCGTGCGCACGCGGGTCACAAATAGGTAACCCGCGGTCGCGCGGGTCACCCATTGGTGACCCGCGACACGCGCCCACACGGGTCACCAACGACCGTCGAGCAGCTTCGACCCCAAAACGCGTTTTCAACAGTTTTTAAGCGGTTTCCGCAGGATTTATCTATTCCAGTTGTTCCCAACTGACTTAATATCATCCACAAACATGGTTAGGTCATTATTGACTGAAGATAAGGTCAAATCTCTTATTATCATCCGAATACCCGCATCCGAAGCCCTATAAATATGAGCCTAATGCCTCCATTTTACTGATCTGAAATTTTATCAAGAGGACGAAGTGCTGCTGGATTGAGGAGTCAAAGGAGCACGAATTTTCAGCGAAGGCGAGTCAGATCCCAGCGAACTTCAACAAAAAGAGGAAGGCTTTCGAAGGATCTGAACATGTTTCCCCGTCCGTTCCTTGAGATTAGGCTTAGTCTTAATCTCGAGAAGAGCTACTGATTTCGCTTGGTCGATCTCAGTGCTTCAAGCGAATACTTCTTTTGTGAAGTAGGAGCTCTGATCAATTCTTCTACTAAACGGATCTGATCTATAGATGGTTCACGGATAAACTCCGGTACCAGCAACGATCCCGCACAAGCAATAGGAGTTAGAACTATTATTGTGTGTAGTTTGAAAAAAAGTTGTAATTGTTGATTGAAAGTCTTATAAAAAAGCTAATTTCGTGAATTTATTGTAACGTTTAAAGTTGTAATGGATTCTTCAATGAGATCGACTTTCCACACAAAAAGGCTCCAAATTAGAATTCAAAGAAAAAGTAAGCAAACAAAAAAATTATTAGAATTCAAAGGCAAAAAAATTATTAGAATTCAAAGGCCCCAAATTAGAATTCAAAGAAAAAAATAAGCAAACAAAAAAAAATATTAGAATTCTAAGCCCCCAAATTAGAATTCAAAGAAAAAAATAGCAAACAAAAAATTTATTAGAATTCAAAGGTTCCAAGCACCCCAAAAGACTGTAAATATTTATTACCATCTTCTTTATCCTGCTAAACGAAATTAAAAGGGACATATATAATGATATCTCTCACCACATCAAGATTCCATGGACTGCTCACAGGAGCGATTAAACATGATAAATTGTTTCCATAAGTTTTCCATTTTCCATTTTTTCTTCCATATCATGCAAATTACAAACAATTTATACAACTGACCAACAACATTCCAGGTCAACTGTTGCCTTTGAAACTTAAATGAATTCATCTTCATGGCATTAAAAAGAAGTCTTAGCATACGCTATGAGAATTAGAATCAACAAGAAAAGTTAAAAGGAAAAAACATGATAACAAGAAAAGAAAATTTATGTGGACAAAATTAAGAAACAACCACCAAAATCGGTACCTGTGTATGGAGAAGAACAAAACCAGAGGGTCACTATAAAATGCTTTTTGCGTGCCATTGATGTACATCCCAATCTACAATTAAAATCTTTTGGATACCCAACTCTGGCTGTGATATAAGGATAAAAAGAATAACTTCATAGTCAAGTACATGGGAAGAACTCCAGTCCAGCCTTATCTAAGCTGGTTTTTAGCAAAGAAACCATGTCCATACTCTCTGATTTTTAGCAAAGAATTACTAAATGATGCAAAATCCCATAGCTCTTTTACATAGAACTTAACTTGGATGAACTGTAGCTATCCATCCCACTTAGACACACATACACACTTTAACCTTTTACCTTGTTGGCGTAAACAGTGAAAGATTGTACAACAAACAAAGTGCAGGAACACATACGTCAAATTAGCCAAAAGACAAAAGAGATCTCATTTAATCTTTTACTGTTTAGAACATCTCCAAGTCTAGGTACATATGGTCAGACTAAAAATTGATCGCATCCATGGTATAAAATGATCCTAGCATGGTATAAAAGAGGAGAAAAAAAAATTGTTCTTCTAATCAGAGTAAGTCAACTATATTATCCGTGGTATAAAATGATCCTAGCATGGTACAAAATATTTACAATTCAAACACTCTTTAAATGTAACACCTTCAGATTCCATGCTCTCCAGCGACTTCATTAAATCTTCTTTGATTTCGAAACTTCGTATCTTCTCTTGTTGTATAGGCAATTTTTTCTAGCATGGTACAAAATATTTACAATCCAAACACTCTTTAAATCTAACACTTTCAGATTCCTTGCTCTCCAGCGACTTCATTAAATTTTCTCTGATTTCGAAGCTTCGAATCTTCTCTTGTCGTATAGGCAATTTTTTCCGTTCTTGTGCCTCAGCCAATGTCATCAAGAAGAAATTCATAGGTCTATTACACTCTGCACAGAATGGTAATAATTTTTGTTGTTGAAGCCCGTACACTTCAACTATCTGTAACCAAGTATTACTCAAACATCAGTGGATAATGAAAACCTGAAAACCCAAAAGTACATACAACAATGAAGCCATTTATACAATTGTATCAAAACCATTTTTTCTAAGAAATCGTGCAAGCTTGGTGTTCTGAGAAATACATATGCAAATAGACAATATGTCATTAAAAAAAGGAGTTTAAGAACTAAATCTATGAGCAGCAAGGAGTTTGTCCAAGACTGCAGTAAGATTGTGTAGGGACCTAATGGGATTGTAAAAGCTTGTTGTTCTGATAAATACATATGCAGTAAGATTTGGTTGATGTTAGGGACCTAATGGGATTGTGTTCAAAAAACTTGTTGTTTATGAGCATATAACCAAAGTGGTGCACTGTTTGTAAAAGCTTGGGCATGAGGTGGAGAGATGTTTAAAAAGAAGACTGTGTGGGTGACTAAAGCTATGTATGTCTAAACAAGGGGATGATGGTGTAACTAATCAAGAAAGTAATACTGTCAACCTGATTCAGTGGTATCAAAACCACTTTTTCTAAGAAATCGCGCAAGTTTGTGGTTCTGAGAAATACATATGCAAATAAATAAAATCTCATTAAAAAAGGAGTTTTAAGAACTAAAAAAAAAGAGGCAAGCTTGGATACAATTGCCCAAGCTAGACTTGAATCTATGAACTGCCATAGGTTGCCCGAATGCCACTTCACTTTTGCCAAAAATGTCACTTTAACACTGGTTGGTACATTCAATATCATATGGTAGGTTTAAACAAATCACTTCACTCCATAGCATACTTCTAAGGATTTTTGATATTTAAAACACTTTTCTTTTCGCTCAAAGTATCACTCATAATTTTTACTAGTATGAAAAGCAATATAAATGCTTTTACAAACTTTTCTCATATCAATTTCATGAAAGTAGAATATTCATGAATCTAAAGGGATAGATAATTTATTTTTGTCAAATAGAACTCTTTAATAAATGCATTTGAACAGTAAATTTAAAATGATACATTTTCAATAATCTCATATACTAAAACAATATTTACCTTATAAAAGATAAATAGCTATCACAATTTAAATTTGTTAACAATTACTAGTGATGAACATAATAACATGTCTAATCCACAATTTCTCTATACAAAAATAAATTATCATTTAAATACTATATAATAGAAAACATCTAATGAGAAGAAATCTACTCAACTCGAGAGATTTGATAACACTTTTGGAGAACTGTACTCCAAGAGCCTACTCCTCGATCAAACCTATAATCATACAAAATGCATAAAACCTAAAGATTCCATACTCAAACTATTTTGGTATAAAACTAATATTTCTAGTTTCTAGGGGTTTTCTAAATTTTATTTGTATCCTTTTTAAATACAACTTGGGCCTAACAACAACTTTTCTAGTTTAATAGGTCAACATGAAAATCTTTCGATTAATTAAATAGTCTTCTATGACAACTTTTTCCTTTGTGTCACCACCATTTGTTCGTCCACGGAAAAAATTCAAAACAATCAATAAGGATGTCTATACTAGTAATATAGAAAAGAGAACATGTGAATCCATCAACCAAAGTCATAAACATGCCATAATAACAGGAAATTAACCACAGATTATTATAGTGGCAGTATATACTATTCTAACAATAAATAGATGCAAATAAAAATAATGTCCTATCCCTTATAATGAATTGATAGACTGTACTATTCTAACAATAAATAGATGCAAATAAAAATAATGTCCTATCCCTTATAATGAATTGATAGACTGAAATCTGAACAATTTTAGAATAACAAAGAAAATTACCTTTTTTTTTATTTCCAAAACCTCCCAATCCGAGAACTTGATTTCATCACCATCGACATCATCCATCGTCAAAGAACAGAGCCATCCTCCCTAATTGCATGCCAAATTCTCATTAATAATCTAAAATATGATTTTGTTCTTTGTGAGATTATAGAGAACAAAGAAAATTTTGGATGATATGATAGAGAGAAATGACCTGAAGCTGCAGGCAGCGGCTGAGACTTAGAGCCCTAGAGTATAATTGTTCCGATTTCCTCATTTCAATCAATACCGTCCATTAGATCCAACGGTATGCGTTATAGGAATTTGAATGTAGGGGTGGAAACGAATCGAATCTGAACGATTAGTGCCTTATTTCGAATTCAAATTCGGCTCAAATAGCACTACTCGTATTCGTGTTCGAATTTGACTCGAGTAATATTCAAAATTCGAATTCGCTTCGTTTAGTTAAATTATCTGTAAAAGGCATAAACAAGTTGTGCAAAATTATCAAGTTTCATGGTTTTGATATCAAGTTGTGCAAAATTATCTGTTAAAGGCATAAACAAGTAATCTTCAGCAATTAGTATAAATTAAAAATCAAGAATAATGGTAACTTTAAGCTTCAACTTACATCTTGATGACTCGAGGGGGAAGACAGTCGAGGGAGGAGTAAACGACGATCTCCGAGAGGGACGACGAGCTTCAAGGGATGACGAGCAGGGAGGAGTCGACGACGAGATTCAAGGGAGGAGTCGACGACGAGATTCAAGGGAGGAGTCGACGAATCTCGGAGTCGACGACGAGATTCAAGGGAGGAGTCGACGTATCTCGGAGTCGACGACGAGATTCAAGGGAGGAGTCGACGAATCTCAAAGTCGACGACGAGAATCGAGGGACGACGAGCTTCGAGGGAGGAATGAACGAAAAACTTCGAGGGAGATCAGTGAAAACCCTAGCCTTGAATCCACTTGGAGTCGGATTTGAAGGAGGAGGGAGGGGAGAGAGAGGAGAGAGGAGCCGATAATCAGATCTGAAGGAGGCGGCGGATAGGAGCAAAGTGAAGACCCTAGCCCTAGAATCCACTCTTACCTATTTATATGGGTGGTGTTTGTAAATAAAAATTTAGATAAGCAATATTTGTAATAAGTTCAATTAATAGGACTAAAATGTAAAAAGTTATCGAATAGTTAATGAAATACTGAATCGAACATACCTTTGGTTAAATTCTATTCATTTATAAGCCCGAACACTGAAAATTATTTGTTCAGTACAAAATGAACTATCGAATCGAACTTGATCGAATATCAGGACGAATAATAACCGAACTGTTTATTAATTATTCGGTTAACTTCCACCTCTATTTGAATGACAAACTTGTAAATAAATTTGAACTTCACTTTGATGCCCGTCTTGACTTGTGGGCATGAGTAATGACTCGTCCCTCAACGTTGTACGTGGTAGTCCTCTTGTGCACCCCTTTGACTTGTCCCTCAACATTGTGCGCTAATCCGTGGACCGTGGTAGACATCTTATGCACCCGTTTTTTAACTAGGCCTTATATCATGATTGTCACTTAAATATTATAAAGTTTTTCTGTTTTGACATTTATAAATCTTGACTTATTTTTTGTGGCGAAAGATAGCATATGTTGCTTAAAATGAGAAGACATTAAGGAATATGTTGCTTCTTCATCGATAATCTTAAGCAAGACACAAAAATGTTAATACTTATATATGATAACAAAAAAATCAACCCTCTATGGACTGTCACGTCATATTTTTTTCATCTCACAAAATCACTTAATTTCTAAATAATATATTTAATATTGATGCTATGAGTATTTTCCCAAAAAAATCTATATCATTGCCCATTTGAGATTCATAACAAAAGTTTTTGTGTAGTGACTTCAAGACAATTTATCCTGGTGTTATGGCTCATGATTTTGCACATGAAACTATACGATGAAGACTGGTGTGGGGAGTATGAAAGGAACAAAAGAATCTGAAGCAAGTTTAGATCCATCAAGAGACCTTCATATTTTGTAAACATAAGAATCATAAACTTCACTGCGATGTTCTATCCATAAAAGCAGAATAACCATCATATTAATCTCAGGTTTTATTCAAGTCTTTTAGATGCAGATTTTATGATGTACCTGTCCTGGAGTGTTATCAGTTTGTTTGCCTAATGTTATGACACTGCTTAAGATACATACGAAAAATCATCACAAGTTTGTTTGCCTAATGTTATGACACTGCTTAAGATACATACGAAAAATCATCACAAAAATGTTAATAATTATATATCTTGACTTATTTTTTTACGAAAAATCATCACAAAAATGTTAATAATTATATATCTTGACTTATTTTTTGTGGCGAAAGATAGCATTTGTTGCTTAGAAAGATAGCATATGTTACTTCATTATAGGCTTTACACATTTGTTCCTATCTGTATTTCTAGGGGTCTAGCGAAAATTTTCTTTTTCTTCTTCCTCTTATCTCTTCCATTTTGTTGACTGCTTATGAACCTAATTGGGTTTGCTTGGGTTAAGTAACTGGAGCAGCCACCTCCAGCAAGAGCCTAGATCTAGGCTTGGCCCGAGGTCGTCGAATGTCACCGGAATCAACGTCGGTGGCTGTGAAGGTTTTTTTTTTTTTCTACAACTATTCATAATTAATTAGTAAATAAATAAAATTGAATCACTAACCTTTTGAAGCTTAATCTTCCCTCTTCTTCTCTCTGTACTCTCCAGGTCCTTTTCTTTTCTTTTCTTTTTTCTTGTTTGTGTGCATGAAGCTATGAGGGATTAATTTACTTAGGGCTTTCAAAGTCCCTTTGCATTCTATAACTCCTATCACATTTATTCCTATTTAACACATTAAATTACCCAATTAAAACATGGATTAGAGCTAGAGTTACAAAACTTTTGATTTTCTTTTTCATTTTTCAAATGATTGAAAAAACGATTTTTCTACAACCTACTAGGTGAACTAAAGGAAATAGAGACTACTTTTACTATTCCCAAGCTGAAAAGTGTATTTATTTCTCTCTAAATGTCATGAAATATTTCAAATGGCTATGAGTAGGTCTTTGGTATAAGTAAATTGTGGTTTCTTTGATATTATGAGCCTACGAGGAGAATATTGTGTTCATTGATGTGGTTTTCTATATTTTCAATTGAAATATTATCGTGTACAAGATATTTGTACATACAAGAAAATATTTAAATTTGAGTGTTCTTTTTTTCCTAGGTTATATACATTCTTAGTGGGCAGCTATTAGGGATGTACATCCTTGACAAAGCTGCTGTCAGGGGTGTATATATCATCCTTGACTGATTGTCGTCAAGGATAGATATCCTTGATGGTGCCACCATCAAGAACGAATGTGTAGGCTGTCAAGGATATTTATCCTTGACGACGTGACATATGCCGCTGACGTATCCTTGATGATAGCCTGTCAATGATACATTTATTTTATGGGAAAATGGGTGTTGTTGGTGGGATTGCTAGTTTATTATGCTAGTGGAAGCTAGTTTTATTTTTATTTGGTTTTTGAATTGCTTTCTTTCTGTGTTTAATTTATCATGCTTAGGATAATCAACTAGAATAATAATTGGTAGAAATTTTTTTTGATATGCCATACTTATCATAAATAGTTTGATAGTTTATGCTTTTTAAATTCCAGAATAGTTATCTAGTTTTTTTATTTCTATTCATGAATGATGATATTGCTTGAATATAAATTTGGTAGGTTATGCTTCTCTTAAATCACTTGATAATATATGCTTAAGACATCTAGTGGCAGGAGAATTAAAAAGGAGTACTTCTAAAATCTAAATAGGATTAGCTAGTGGATTCAATTCCAGATTTTAGTTTTATAACTAGATTTTCTTTAACTCTTTTATTTATTTATTTTCTCTTGGTTTTAATTTCCAGATTTTAGTTTTATAACTAGATTTTCTTTAACTCTTTTATTTATTTATTTTCTCTTGGTTTTAATTTCCATCTTGCTTTAACTTTTTATTTACATCAAATTAACACTCAAACCAATCTCTACCTTCTCTTTTCTATTGCAATTCAAGAACCATTTTAGTATCTTTTTTACAACACATCTTCCTCATGTGATCAACAATTGCATGCTGCACACACAAAATTATGCACTCTTGCAACATTTATATTTAGAACACATCACCACCTAGGCACATCTAGGTGGTTATTGTAGTTGTAGGCTCTCTAACATTACAGGTCATGTGTCACCATCCGAGTTTGTTCCTATTTCTTTAGCATGAGTGAGATTCAAGGCGACGTGGGGCACACATTTTGATCTAAAGATGATCTATCCACCACATTTCATTAATCAGTGGCTTGAGGGTTAGCCTATAATTAGGCGAGGAATGATGCGGTGTGATGCGGCATAATTATGTACCAAAATTGCAAGTGCACAATTGATCAAGTTATAGTATAAAAATATCGATCCCACGAGGAAGGTGATTTTAAGAGATTATTAGAAATGGTTCTTATGTTTTGTGCGTGACAATTAGGAATAAAGAATAAGTGTGATTTTGATGAGTGGTTGTTTTGATTTATGTGCAAGAGATAATAAATTGAATTTTAGAGAAGAAAGAATCAAAGAATAAATGAAATCACAAGGCAAGAAATATGAATTAATAAAATCAAGAAATAAAACTAAGAATGAAAAGAAAATTTAACAAAATTAAGATGAAGGATTCAAATGAGGTAAGAAATCTAGAATATAATCCACTAACCAATTTCAATTACAAAATATAAACTATTCTCTTTTATCATATTTCAACTTAGATTTATTAAGCATAGATTATCAAACCATTTAAGGAAAGTGTAACCTATCAAATTATCATCTAAGATAAAAATTACTATTCATGATAAGAACAACAACATGATAATAATCCTAGAATTCATAAGCATAACCTATCAAACCATTTAAGATAAGCATAGATTATCAAATTCTTCTTCTACCGATTAGTTCTCTAGTTGATTATCCTAAACATGAACATTTTAAGTGCAAGAGAATAATTCATACAATATAAAGGAAATTAGACTAGTTTCATACAATTCTAAGATTCCTATAAGAATTAAATTCACATCTTAAGAAATAAAAACAAGAAAAAGAAGACTAATTACAAAATTAAAAAGAAAAGAAAAATCTAAACTATGAACAAGAAATAAATCTAATTACAAAGAAAATAAAAATCTAAACTACAAAATAAATTGCAGAAATTAAATGCAAGAAAAATAAATCTACTCTACAAATTAAAGTGCAAAAAGAAAATAAAAAGACAAGAAAGTAAATCTATACTACAAGCATGAATTTAAATCTAACTAATAAGCAATAATAAAGAAATTACTAAAAAGAAATAAAAGAGAAAAGAAATGCAAACCTTCAAATTGCTCTTCATCTCCATCCTCATCATTCCACAAAGAGGAGAAAGAACAAATTTAAAGAGGAAAAAAATTATTTTTATTAATTGCAACTAAAGTTATAATTTTTGGAAGGCCTTCTCAATTAAAAGTAGCCCTCCTCTCCAAAAGGAGTTTACAAAATTTTCACACCCTTAACCCCTCACTCTCTACCCTTATTTATAGTAATCTTCAATGAATATGAGCCATTAGATTTGTCTTGAGCCCCAAGTAACAATCTCCACCACCTTTGAATTGATTTTCCAATCTTCATTTGATTTTCCAAGGCCCAATTTTCATTAAATTGATTTTCAAAATGAAAGCAGCAACAAGCAGCGGCCCAGCTGAAAATTCGGTCTTCATTTGAGTAAGAAATTAATTTTCATTCATGATTTTCGGCCCAGCAACTCATTCATGATTTTCGGCCCAGCAACTCATTCATGCAACAAAGGTCCAGAGCTCATTTGATTTTCAAAAATCATTTCCATTTGGTTTCGGCCCACTCAAGCATTATCAAAGCATTTGATTTTCAAAGTCAAAAATCCAAGCAAGCCCAAGTAACCGGCTCATTCATGTGAATTAAAGCCAATGTCCCTTTGTCCAGCAGCTGGTC